CCGTATGAAGCTATTCATGCTGGGGCGTTTTCTTGCCTCCCCTTGGAAGCATGAATTAGAGAGGTAATTCTGTAGGGAGCTTCTTGCTGGGTGGCCTGGACCTTTCCAAAGAATCTAGTCCTGTGAACCTGCCCGGTTGTGAAGACCTGTGTCAGGGGCACTATTCACTGATCTTCTGAGGAGGCTTAGGTGGCTATTGGGTATGGGTCCTTGTCTGTGGCGTCTTAGTTGTGGAGCTCCCCTCCCCTTTTAAATTTTCTTAGCATCAAATTTTGGTATCTTTTTAGCTCAATCCATTTATACTTTCCTGGGCTTTTTGTAGTTTGAGGTTTTTACATTGTTTTTAATGGCTGTCATAGATTTAACCTGCTGATGATGGAAAACATTACTCTCTTTTCTCATTTATCTCTTTTTATTGTCATCACACATTATATTAAAACACTTTTTCTAATTTTCTTTACAACACATTATCAAAGGTAGGATGAAAGTATTATAATAAATAAGAAAGATTCTTTAAAAGGTTTTATAATTTGTTACCAGAAACATTAGGAACCTGCAGCTCTATTTTGAAAATCTGTCGGTAAAACATTCAAACTACATGTAGGGGGCTAATGTTTTGCTTCATGATTATGCTTGGATATTTTTTTTTCCCAGTAAAATAGTTCTTTTATGAGAATCAGATGCTAAATGCAAATGAGCAATTAATTGGTTTTCTTACAATAATGAGTAGCTTACGAAGAGTTGAACATAAAAAATAATGAGTTGCTAAAGCTTGCTGATGGGGAGTGGAGCTTCTTCCACTGCTCATGGCAAAACGGCAGCTTCTGTGCCCAGAATAAATGGTGTTTCCATGCACACTGGCATGCTTTAAATAAGAAAATCCCAGAAGATATATTCCAGTTGAACTTCATAATTGGAAACATAATTTAATTCCTATATGCTTAAATGAAAACTTGAGGGTTAAAATATCGGCATTGCCAATGGTGGTCATATCTACCAGTTAGTTATGCCCAATATAATCCCTTTGTGTAATACTTAACACTTATTGTCAATAAGTTGGTTGAATTTTAAAGCATCGCTGTAATGCTTTGTTATAGAAATCAGAGCTCATCATTAGTCCTTCCCAGTAAAATGGTTCCTGATCATCTAGAGCAGCCCTTCCCTGCCCGGTACCCTCCCCATGTCTCATAATTATCAGCCAGCATGGGCACCAGGAAGGGCAAGAGCCATCTTCAGTCTGTTCCAGCTTTTAAAATTTAATTAATTTGGTAATTGTGGAAGGAAAAGGAAATGTACACACGTACAAGGCGGTATTCAATGAAATGGTTCCATGGCCCAGTAGATGGTGTTTATTTCCGATGTATTGCATCCTTGAGCTCATGGGATGGCTTGGGGCCAGACCTTTTCAGCCTCCAGGCTCCATCTGCAAATGGACTTATAAATGAGTTGGTTTAGGCATAATACTAGCCCAGAGAACAAGCCTACCCTCCTTCGGAGCTCACACACTCTCGCTTCCCTCCATTGCAACTGTGAGGAAAAGCTTGGAAGCATCCTGTTTTGTTCCAGCTTAACCAGAGCTACCGTGTCATCCAAACCCAGACAGGCAGTGGTTAATCTTGAATAAGTTAAGATAATAGGAAATCTTGTTGGCTTATTCCCATTCCTAGATGTTAAGTCATCCTTACAAGGTTGTGTGATTAGGGAGTGTTGTGTTTGGTGCAGGCTTCTGAATTGTGACTTCTTAAAAATCAGTGTTTCCCCCGATGCTGTTTTGTTTGTGTGTGTGTTTTTAGCATGCTGTTTTAAGATTGTAAATCATTTAATCTAGGTTTATTTCATTATTCTATTATGTAGATGCTTTAAATTATTTGGAAATTCTTTGAGAGCAATTCATTGTCTAGGGAGCAGGGTATTAATTTGTTTCTTGGATTTAAAGTAAATAAATGCTTTAGGAACTAAGGGAGAATTTTGAAAAAGCTTGGCATACTGCACAGTTTGGCTGTTCGAAAGAGAAGGAAGGCGGAATGACATAGGGAGGGCACATAAGCCAGAAGAATCTCTTTAGAATGCTGGCCATTTACTCTTCTGGATTCAGGCTTTTTAATGCATAAAAACAGATTGCAAAAACATTTAAAACTACTCCTCTTTAGGGAAATCTGAAATATAAGCAAGTTCTAATTTTGCAAAATTGGGGCATTATTTTCTAATCTATAAAACGTGAAATAGGAATCATAACCTGCATTAAATTTCAGGAAGGTCTTTCTGCATTAAATACTGCTTACCTGAAAAAGCAGTTACTTTTAATGCAGCATTTTTTAGTATTGCAGCATTTAAACGGTGTAAGGGGAATACAAGGGAAATAATAATTTGGCAAGTCTGACTTTCTGGTCCCAGGTTTATTAACGTAACTGCTATAATTGTTTGTTTGGGAGTCTGAAAATTGTCTCTGCCTTATGCAAATGATGCTTCATATTAGAATGAAAACAACGCATTTATTACTTGCCCTTTCTCAAGTAGAAATTTTTAAATCTAAATTAATCAGCTGTAATAACTAAATATTCTTTCATTTTGTTGTGTGATGTGCAGTAGGATCCCTGGCTGGGATTGAAAGAGCCCCACAGCTAGTACCCTACACCTCTAGAACTTTGGGCTGGTGTTTCTGGATTGCCCCCCTTCTCACATGCCAATTCCCTTGTGAAACTGAGGCAACCTTTAAAACCATGTTGTGAAATAGCATTGGAATATAATATTGAAAAGGGGAAGAAAAGAAAGCATTGTACCAGGTGTGTCTAAAGCAGCTCTTTGAATGCTGGCTGGTATATAATTACGGTTCACAAGTTTGCGAGATAAATGGAGCAGGACTCACACATTCCCCAAACCCATGATTAGTATTCCTTGTTCGTCCAACTCCAGCATTCCTTTCCCCACTGCCCCTAGTCCCGCTGGTGGGGTTTCGAGGGGATGCAGAGCTTCCACCTTTGTTTTAGACTAACCATAATTTAACATGGTATCTTAATCCTAAGTGTTTGTTCATCTTAACTCCAGTTAGTTAGAGCAAACCACCTTCCTAAGCCACCAAGTTGGCTTGTTTCTGGTTCCGTGTGGTAGGAATTAAACAATAGGCCAAAACACATACAGATTTTATTTCCCATTTGCCTGTATCCAATATTTCTGCCTTATTCTTAGGGGTTAGGTCCTCCAAGATGTCTTTCAAGGGTAAAACAATATAAAACAATAAAGATAGTATAAAGCATGAAAGGAAACACAAAGATGTCACTGAATTAAGCATCATCAAGGAGCTGGACAGGAAGTTGTACCTTTGAGCCGAGGGAATGCAGTCTCACATGACAGGTCTGGCATTAAATTGAACCCGTTGCTCCTCTAATTGTCAGTGCAAAATGGATCGAGTGCTCACCATACTGATGCAGGGATACAATATAATTTGCCCATTCATTAGGGAAAAATTGTTGCCATTGGCACCTTTCAGTTTCATATCAAAAACAGAGGGTGGTGCTTCATTCTAGTTTTGTCTTCCCACTCCCCGGACGTGCGGCTGAAATTTAAGATAAATGCTTCCTGTTTTCAAGTCTGTTGTGCAATACCCGTGTCCAGTGCTTTTTTTGTTAAAAAAAAAAAAAAGTGCGGGAACTCACATACCCACCGGCAGTCAGCACACACACCAATCCCAAGCCGAGCAGAGGAGTAGCATCCCAAGCAGCTCTCTCTCACTAGCAGATAGCAGACACAATAGCAGCCTGCGGGCACTATGTTAATGATGTTTGCTGCTGATCTGCTATCTGACAGTGAGATACTGATATCTGATACTGATCTGATCTTCAAAATCACTTCGTAAAATCCATTGAAAAGAAGGTGCCAAAAGCCCTGCCCGTATCATACATTCTTGGCTTTTGGTCATAGTTTTGTCCAGCACTTCCAGTGGGTTAGGTTGATTTGTGGTAGAAGTTTTAGGCTGCCTCTTTGGAAAAATCCTCATTCTCCCATTTCCAGACAACAAGAGGAGAACAGATGAAACCAAACTCATGTGAGGAGGGTGGGAAGGCAAAATGCATTGCATATTTCTTTTGTTATAAGCACCTCTGCCTTGTTAACTTGCCAACCCTTTTAGACGTTTAAATTATCATCTTGCTGTTAGCTCTTTGCTGAGTGACTCTCCCTTTTTTCTTTTCTTTTTTCTTTCAAGCAATTCCTCCCACACTCAAAATAGCTAAACACCATCCTTTGTTTTATTCCTAAACTGCATGGCACCACAGTCCTGTTATTGTTGACTGGCTTTAAGCAAAGCAAATCCAGTCCCATTTTCTTTGGAGATGCTTATTATTCTGGCCCTCTCAGTGAACGGTGTATATTTAAAACACACGTGGTTGAAATTGCTGTTGGTTTAGGTGCTTGAGCTGCCTCTTGACCTGCCTCCATCTAAATGACATGGGCTAAAGGGAACTTTGCCTGTAACATGAAGCAGAAAGGTTGTACTGCGGGCCCTGCTGCCCTTGGAAGCTGACACGAAGAAAAATATGTGAATTCTTCCAGGTCTACCCATAAACCTCAATAGCTACAGAGTAGGGCAGCAAATTTTTATAGGGGCTAGCTGCAAAGGTCTCTTGATTGTTACAATATCTTTTAACAGCATCCAGCATCAGAAGCAGTATTCCTCTGCTTACTAGTTGCTCGGGAACTTGGGCGGGAGGGTGCTGCTTGTACTCGCATCCTCCTTGCGGGATCCTGTGGGCAGGTGGTTTGCCCCCTTGTAAACGGGATGCTCACTTGGATGGACCATTGGTCTGATTCAGTGGCCACTTGATCCAAAGTTGGTAGAGTTTTCAGAATTTTTCCAGTGTAATTCATGCAAAATCACAGATGCATCTGAGCTTTTAAAAATTATTATTTAGATTTAATGTATGCGGTTGAATTAAATAACCAAGCAAAATGTAATTGCTGCATGAGTTGATATACTGTTGATATTTCTCTTTGTCTTTTTACAGATTTGTTCCTTACAACACTCTCAGCTTCCTCACAAATTCAGTTTGAAGTATGGGTAAATAAGGTAAAGAAGCAACTATTTGGGGAATTTATTCTAAAATCTTTCAGAATACTAATAATAAATATAAAGATGCCCATCAGGGACTGTTAGACTTAGGTATCTGATGATACTGATTTCAAGAATATGTAATTTTCATTATAGCAAATACAGCCTCAGTGTTGCTTTCAGACTTCTGGAAATTGCTTGAAGATCTTTTACTCAGCATCCCTTTCCCTGCAGGATTTTAGTATGGCTGCCAATTAAACCAATCAGTCTGCCCTAATGTGTGCGTTAACAGGACTCCTGCCGTGATGTCATCTGTTGTATGAGATTACTGCCATTTAATTTGTCAGCATGATGGAAGCATCTTTCAGCGGAGTACTTCCTCGTCTCCAGAACTTTATATTGTTTAAACATGGCTGAAGATTTTTCTGCTAGAGATAGGAAGATTATTTCTTCCTGGCTGCTTAATCCTCAAAGACTGCTGAAGTTCTGTTGTTGTGGGACTTGGTATGTTGCTTAACAGAGAGAATCACCTGTAACTGTGCAGTGCTTTAGTAGGGCAAAAGCCTAACCCCCAAAGCAGTGTAATTCCTGAACTGCTGATTATGGAAGGAGTCAAATGTCAAGAGGAGTCCCACCAGCCAGGAAGCAAAGTCAATTGATTCACTATATTTGCAAGTTGTCCAGGTGCTGATGGACCGATTCTGTAAAGGAAGCCACAGCCTTGAGTTTCCAAGAGCAGAGCAGGGTTATCAAGACCAGGACATGTCAGAGAACATTCATTCATAGGGTCATCACAAGTCAGAGAGGACTTAATGGCATGTAACAACCAAGTGTTTTCAGTACCCTTTTAATGGAGCTCTACCAGTGGTGACTTGAGTTGTTTCAGAAGCTGCCATTAGAGAAAGATGGAGAATGTAATTGATGTGATGATTCCTCAGAAGCACCTACATTTCACATACTGACTTTTTCTGCATGCTGTGTCTTACTGGCCTTGTTATACTGGCAGAAAAATTACAGGAATGCAAGAAACAGATCTAGCACAACCCACGAGCTCATAACGCCCTGTGCAACACTTTCTGCAAGCTCAATCAAAAGCACTGGTTTTGATGCTTGTGCAAGGGAGAGACGGGTTTACAGAAGCCCAGTAAGCTTTGTGCCAGAGGAATGACCCCCCCCCCCCCACGATTCAGTCCTGTGGATGCTAGAACAGATTAGATGGCTTGATGTGATCCGTCTGCATGCTAAATTCAAAAGACCTTTTCCTTGAGAGGGAGAGGGAAAAGGCAGATATGACTGCATGAATTAAGCTGGGTTACACTGTTACTCTTTCTGAGATAGTAAATCCAAATAAATGCTTTTAAAATGCACAGGGCATTTGCAATTTGAAAATGAGCCCATCTGAACAGTGGGCCTCCCAACACAACAGCCATTGGTCCTTTCTAAGTAATCTGAAATTATTAACATTCAGACTTCAAAAATTAGTTATTGATATACAAGGTTGCTTATTTAGATACCTCAGCCAGTCAACCCCTTCTGCCATTTAAGTTTCTGTGAGTACACGTCTATTATTAAATCAAATGCTTTCTCAGAAATCAGAAGTAGTTGACTTAGTTCTCTGAAAATAGGAATATCTTAGTATTTTGCTTGGTTTTTTTTTTCTTTTTAAGGCCTAAAGTAAATGTGCCCTCACTGACCTTGTCACAATAGGAGTTCAACCGTATTTAAATGTCAGCTCAGTTCTTTTCAGTAGTAATTTCCACATGGCTAGAAAGTACATAAAAATACACTTTGTGTTAATGGGAGCCAGCAGTTTAAAATCCAAAGTGTTTTCTGAGATATTCAGACAATTGTTACTAAAACAGATTACCGCATTCATATTCCATTTGTGTTGGATGTCAGTGCTCAAACCTGGAACTTGATTCTGAGTCACAGCAGTTCAATTCAGAAAATCCTGTCCCCGCTTATTAAGCCAAGAAGACACAGTGCCTTGCAGATATATTCACCTTCCCCCTAGACTTTTCCATGTTCTGTTGTGTCACAACATGTAATTACAGTGGATTTAATTTGCATTGTTATTGCTTGATACATGCAAGATACCCCATTTTGTGAAGGTGCAGAGTATTTTTTATTCTGACACAAAAGTGAAGTAAACAAAAGCAAGCCAGAACTTGTTAACTGCAGAAGTATTCTCTCCTCTGAGGCTATGTGTGGGGAAGCACCAGTGGCAGCCATTGCAGCTGCAAGACCTCTTCGGTCAATCCCTATCAGCTTTGCCCATTTGGATCCTACAGTGTTTGCCCAGTTTTTCCTCCTGGAAAAACTGCTCCAGCTCCATCAAGTTAGAAGGAGTCTGTGGGTAAACAGCAACTTCCAAACCTTGCCATGGATTCTCCATCTGATTGAAGTCTGGCCTTTGACTGGGCCATTCTAGGACATTCAGGTCCTGGATTTGAAACCACTCGTGGTTAATGCCCTATGTATTTGGTGTTGGGCTTTTCCCTACATCCATGAAGATGATTATGAATTGGTACAACTAATATTTTATCTTTTTCAATATGTTTTTCTGCCATAGGATGGGAATTTTTCTGAACCTGCGCATACAAAGATGAAGCCTGAAGATGTTGTCGTGGTTGGACAATCTGCTTTCACGGATTTTGGTGAGATTCCTTTCTTCCTGCACATGCACGGTATTCGACAGCTGTTGTGTAAGCGGGTTCGCACCTGCACAGTCAACCCTTTAGTGATTTGACAAATGTGTTTATCTCACCATGCTGCATTTTTAGTCAACTCTTTTTTTAGAATTTTAAGGCACTCATTTAAAAGCCATTAATAGATAAAATGCATACAAACTCGGTTACACATGACAAACATTTAAATTAATTAAAGTAGCTTATAAAAAGATTGATGAAACATGTCAACATTCTTAATGGTTATAATTGCCAGTTGTTTCACCAAGCTTCAGAACAAAGACAGTGCTTAATTTATATGTAAATGCAGTTTCAAGCAATTTTTGGTTAACGAGATGTACTTTTTAATACTACTTTGGCTTTCTAATCAGGGGTCAAATTAGGAATTATTGTGTATTTTAAAAGCCTAAATTGTTGTTAATAAAAAAAATCCCGATGTTATTTGATCATGAAAGATGCTGCTTTTACGTAAGTAGGAATGTTTTAGAGGAAGAATTGTATCTCCTGAGAGAGAAAGTTTACAAAAATGTGATGATAATCAAAAGCTGCTCACACGCTCCCTTGCAACAAGATGGAATACTCTCCAGGCAACTAAGAAGGAAGCTTTACAAAATCTGGTTCATCTTTAGTCATCATTCAGGAATGTTTTTAAGTCATCTGTAATTATCTGATTCAGAATACAAGCATTTCCACCTTGTATTACAGATCAAGCATCATTTTTCCACAGAAAAGTTCTGCAACTCATAACATGAAATTAGTGTGTTTGATAGAAACTAAGAAACAGAGTGAGTCAGAAGGGGCCTCCTGGGCCATCTAGTCTGACCCCCAGCTCTAGCCAGCTCTGCTCATGACATGCCTACCATGTGCATGATAGAGGTTTCAACTGAATTTTCAACTACCCCTCAAAATCTCATCAATTTTTCACCTAAGTATTGGAAGCCCACCAGTGCTCAGATAGTGCTGCTCTGCAGAGCCCAAAAGACTCATTTTGAAGGTTCCAGGAGACTCTCTGCATACTCATGTCTCTCTGCTTCTCCTTCTTGATGCATACAGTTGATCCTGGTGAGCTTAAATGACACAAAAGAGGAAACAGTTTAATCTCATGTTGATGTGTATTAACCAGGATCTTCACCCATGGTTACTTGTCCTTAAATTTATAATGCCAACTTACCATAAGTCTAAAGCGCAATCTTGCTAAGGCTGGTCCCTTTTTCTACACAGATGCTTAAAAATAGCCACAGACATTCTAATGGAGTTCTGTTTGACCTTTAATTAAATACCATTTCTCCTGGGTGACACTTTTGCTGGTCCCTGTTGTGGGCACTGAAGACATTTAGCTACATTAACAGCAAGAGAGCAAAGTGAAAGACTATGAAATTGGATTTTTTGTTTTGTTTTGTTTTGTCATGGTATTAAATTAGAATGTTCATTAAAACCTAGGCAAGGCTCAAATGTATATTTGCATGTAGTGCTGTCTTTTAAAGAAAAGACCCACAAGGTTTGACTAGGGGTTGGGAGCCAAAATAATCTAAATTCTCTTTTGTCCACGCTGCTTCCATTTTACATTGTCCTAGTGCAGAAAGCTGTTAATGATTCCCCAAAAGCAGATGGTATTGAAAAATGCCATGAATACTAATCAGCATAAAGTATATGTCAAATACATTTATTTTGAAAGATGTAAGAAAGAAAAATAATCTGGAATTGAATTTCTTATCACAAGTGCTATAGCTAACAGCAGTGGATAATATCACCAAAGGGTGCATTATAATTTTAGAAATCTGACACATTTCAAGGAATTAACTTGGATTTCAGGAAGCACAGAAAAAAGGAAAAAATAGAATTAAGCAAGCATTTAAAATGTATAGTATTTCTTTCAAAAATTGCCATTTGGAGCTCTGCTTTTTGTGGGGAGCAAAAGTTAGTCACATCCCTCAAGCAAACAATTAACACTTTTGGTGTTAAGAATAAATAAAGCTTTGGGGCAAGGGGAGGTACAAAACATTCTTTCCCCAAAGCCATGTTCATTAGATTTGGTCCATGACCTGCATAGAGGGAAAAGGAGGGGGATGCCAGGGACACAAAATTTGGAGAATAAAGCCTGAAACAGGTTGTTCCTAGGAGTGCCCCAAAGAAGAATCCAGCTGGAAACAAATTAGGCTCAGTTCAACCAAGAGGCTGGCTCCTCTCTTTCCCTGCCTTTTGATCCTTCTCAGCCTCCCCCCTCCCCCCGGACTTGACCTGCCTACTTCAGCTCTTCTATAATTTTGGTACAAACACATCTGTAGGAGGGCTGGATGGGGCGTGTAACCAGTTGGCCCTGCCACTAACCCCCACATGTTCAAAGAAACCCTTTGTGCTAAATCTGTGCATGTAGGTGTGGGTTCCATAGCTAGGAAAAATTTCCAGGCTACAAGAACCGACATACATTTTGTTATGTCTACTAAGGCTCCATCCAATGATGACACAGCTGGCAAGAGTGTGGAACTCAGAAATTGGTCCACCTATACATTTTTACATCTGATTAATTTAACTGGGTTTGAACGTTGCATACAAGCCCAGCCAGAGGAATTCCTTTTGTTTCTTGGTCTCAGCAGTGGGCTGAAGGAACCCCCTGCCCCACCACCTTAGCATTTTTCTCTTGATAAAACAGGCAGTACCGTGACTGCTGTTCACAGTATGGCACAGCATGCTTCTTCCAGAAGAAGGGGAAATAGTATTTAACAAACATTAGAGGAAAAGGATACAGTGTGGTCCCCCTCCCATCCCCTGTGTGCATTGAACAGAAAATAGAAGGTGGCAATTTCCACCTGCAAATGCCAGCTCACTGGGAGACTCGTTTCCAAGCTGGCAGCTCAGGTCTTGTCCCGTCTATCTATTAGCTGAAGCTGGTTATTTTGGGTTGTTCTGAGCACATCTAGCTTGGTCTTCCTTTTCCTTTTCCTTTCCCTCCTTTGGGTGCTTTTTAGGGTGACATTAGATCTCTAATGCAATTAGATTTTCTCACCAGCCCCAGCTTATTGTATCCACAGGGCTGTTGAGACCTGCCTGTTCCAGTTGTGTGCCACCTTTGGCAAACACTGGTTGGTTGGTTGGTTTTTGGTCTTACTGTCCACTACGTTAGCTCAAAAGCCCTCTGAGTGGATCGCAATTTGTAAAACACACAATAACTCATACAACACACCATAGCGAACTTAAAGGCTGTCCGTGCGTCAAGAAACATGGACAGCAGTGAGGCCCCGTTGCCCAGCTCTGGTGATCAGCTTTCTGTGCCCCTTGAGCCAGTGGCCAAAGCATCCCCTGCTCATTCCACTGATGCGTCTGTGCAGGTCCAAAGAGGCATCCACTTGCTCGTACAGGCCGTAGCAGGTCAGCTAATCTCCTTGAGTGGTTTTCCAAGAGAGTTCGCACCAACCACACCAAGGCATGGCCGGTGTAAAAATGCTTCAAAGGCCCAGAATTATGCGACCTTTTGCATCCCAGCCAGCATTTGTGCTTCAGGGCACCAGTGTCTCTGATCAAGAAGTTCTACCAGAAATGTGCATCAGATGGAAGAAAAAGAATTTCTTTTTCAGTAGATCGACCTGCCAGGGTCAAGATGTAACCACAGGTTACATCTAGGTACAGCCCCTCAGTTGTCTTGAGCCAAAGCACAGTTGCAATGCAAAAACCCAGATTTCCAACTGAAGCAAAGGCCGAAATGAAATCAACAAGCTGTTCTGCAAACTTGGAGCTAGCAATCTGTCCATTTGAGGCTTCATATAGGATTTCATTGTTTTCTGGGAAATGTACTCTAGACCTTAGAGCTGTGGAATGAGAACCGCAAGTTCCATGTCTGCTAAACATGCTTAATCCTGGGCTGGTTTTGCAAGTTCTGTCAGTACCTGCCACCTGAGTTTGCTGTTAGAGCGAGTGAAGACGCTATGGAAGTTACAGGGTTGCAGGTGGTACCAGTTGCCAGGATGCAACAGCAGTGGAGACACTGCCTTTGTGGTGTGCGTACGGGCTTCCCTGGGTCATCTGATGGCCATTGCGAGCAACAAGGTGCCGACTGAAGGGATCCTTTATCTGACTCATCGAGGGCACCTTGCATCTTTATCCAGACACCATCAATGCAGCTTTTGTGACCTGGCTGGACTTGCACAAGACTTAAGTCACCCATTTCTAAAATAGTTCTGGGCAATTTAAGTTTCATGGAAGCCCCCAAAAGCCGGTTTACTCTCCAGGAAATAGCAGTGGGGAAAAACCTGTCTTATAGATCAGTTCTTCTGCCCTCTGCGTAAGCCATTCCCTCTGCACTAAACTGTGTGTTCATCTCCAAATAAAATATATCTTTAATCTCCATGGTGTTCATCTGCTATAATATGCCTCGTAATCAGTTTAATTCCCATTTAAAATTGGTTTTCAAGTGGCACTATTGCATTAAGAAAACTGGAAAATATTATTTCAGCTACTTCAGTATGACAATGAACATTAATAACAAGTAAATTAGAAATCTTCATCTACAACTCATTTTCATTGAATTGGGATTGTCTGTAGTGTCTGCTTTAAAGCTGCGATGTCTAGAATATCTTTTATGTAAAATGGTTTTATCTGGGGTTGATTAAAATCATCTAATAAAGCTGCCAGTAATTTCTGGAGATGGGTGCAGTGCAGTTTTGGAAGAGTTCTCCCAAAATTTCATTTAGAGACTCGCTGTGAGGCGATGCTACTGAACATTATCTGAGCTTTGGCTTCTTTTAAAAAAGTCTTTTTTTTTTCTTTCTGTATATTTCAAGATGTATATACAGCTACAGCTGGCTCTGTATTTCACTATTTTTTTATCTTTCCTTTGCACCACTTAATTTTTGTGCTTTTTTAAGCATGAGGGGACAAAAGCTTGGGACAACGGTAGAAAAGCAATGTTGTTATCCAAAGGAGATTTTTCTTCTATGCCTTTTATGACCATGCTACAAATGACTTCTGTTCCATGCAGTTTATCATTATTTTTAAGCGTCACAACTTCATTTCACTTCATAGCAGTGAAGTTGCAATCAAAAACAAAAGATAAATAGATGAAACATACTTTTACCGTCTGTATATATGATGAATATTTAAATTTGTTCAACTAAGACTCCGCTGTCACAATCCATTATTTTGACTCAAATAATGTGCTTGCCTTGTTTCCAGTAGGGTAAAAGATGATGGGATGGATCTAGACTTACCAATGCTTGGAGAAGGCTCACTGAACCCAATTGCTCTAGTTACTCATGAGTACAGTGCAGAACAATGCAATAATCTCCAATAATAAGCCTGGCAGGGCCACCAGTCCTGTTTTAAAAAGATCCAGAAGGTTGATTAAGGTGGAGAGGAAATGTTAATGTAATCCCTTTTCCATCCCTGTCACCCCCTCCCAAGGTATTTACATCTGTAATTAAAAAGGACAGAGCCTTGGGAGGGTTTTATTTACATTGAAAATTAATCCAAAGACGAGGATAAAAATTCTCAGTGGGTGACAAGACAGGAGGGAAAGCAAGTGCGTGCCAAAAACAAAGGTTTAACATGGTCTGAGACTAGCTGCGAGAGAAGAACCCAACGGCCTCTATTGCAAAATAGATTGTCCAAACACATAAATGAGATAAAGCTTCAAAGCGTCATTTTTAGTGAGCATTTAGAGGTGATGAGGCATAGTTTTGCCTTATTACAGTATAAAAGGTTGTCCTAGTAGATTAATAATTCTCTTAACCATTCATAATACAACCAATTTAATCCCACAGTAGTGAAGCGCAGGCTTTGGGGTGTTTGTACAACCCTGGCAGTTTCCAAAGGCGTCTTCACCGAAAAATGCTTAGAAAGGGGGAAATCAGAGCACTTCTTTCTTTTTCCCTTTTACTGTTCATTATGAAGTTCAGCACACTGTAGTTCTTATGACTTATTCCCCAAATGTATCCAAGATGGTGAGGAGGAGGAAATGGTTCCCTACAGGGCTGATCTTTGGAAAAATCCAACAGGAAGCCTCTTCCCATGATTTTCATCTGGCAGGGATGGGTTGCTGCACTGCAGGAGAGAAACCAAGTTGTATGGATCTCTGCCATGATTAGAATTACTGATTGGTTTTAGGATTGGTTGTGAATTGCCTACAGAGCCTACAGCTAATTATCACCAGCTATATGATTTCTGAAGAGTGTAACTCAGAAACACAGTGGGTCAGAAGGAGTCTCCCGGGCCATCTAGCCTGACCCCGGGCTCCAGCCAGCTCCATTCATGTAATACCCAACATGTGGCTGTCCAAGCTTTCCTTGAATGCCCTCATTGAGGGGCCTCCTCCACCTCCTGTGGAAGCTCATTCCATTTCCTAGGGGTCCTAACCATCAGGAACTATGTCCTGACATCTAACCTGAAACCCAGTTCCTTGAGCTTTGCCCCATTGGATCATGTGCTGTCTTCCACCGCAGGAGAGAACAGGTCACAACCCTCTACCGTGTGACACCCCTTCACGTACCTATAAGCGTCTCCCGTGGAATTTGTTCTCAAAAAGAGGCTCACTGATGTAGGGTATTCTGGGTCAGAATGCTAGAGTGAATGCCAGAAGGATCAGGCCCATGGCCAATGAATCACAATGGATCTGGATTTTGGAGCGATGCGTGAAGAGCTCAGTCTTACCATTAAAATTAAAGAAAACTTGGGACTATTATGGCAAAGACTACACCTTGTCTGTTTTGAAACAGATTTATTCCAAAGGTATAGAAAATTATTTCTGCAGATATGCATTATCCCAAGAGAGCTCAGGACAGCCTATATCACTGGCCCTATGTTGCCCTATGTCAGTTGCATCAGGAAAGGGTATCTTCCCTACATTGAAACGTAGGATCCGTGAAGAATTGCTTAGGATCCGTGACAGAGCTAGAAGGGTTTTACTGCCTGTCTGGCTGTCAGCAGAAAAGAACCTCACTCGGCAACCCTCTTGATAACTTAATTGACAAGCTCATCAAAATGAAAGCAATGAAGAACTAATTCAGGTTGGCCAACTATCAGATGATACATTAATTATTGTAATACAGGAATCTTGGTTCAAATTATGTAAATGGTTGATTTCCATTCTTAATTTTAATAGTTGCAAGGATCAATGTGAATACTATGATTCATAGTTTTTAAGACTACAAGTCATTCCACTTTTATTCCGTTAAATTGGATTAAATAAAGTAGATGAATCAATAACTATGAATGCTGATTCACTGGTTAGGCAAACTATTTGCTTATCCTACTGAATTGACATCCATGGCTATGAATGAATTTAGTATGCAGTATCTCAGTATTCCATATTCTTAAACACGTTTTACGCTATTAATGCCATCACTGGTGGGACATGAGGAGGGCCCTGGTATTATGGTTCAGCTCAGCGTACATGGTCCTCCACATTTTATCCTCACAACAACCCTGTGAAGTAGTTTAGGGCTGAGAGGCGGTGCCTGGCCCCAGTGAGCTTCATTGATTTGAGCTCACTTCTTTTGTCCCATGGGATGATTAATCTCAAATATTTGTTTGTTTTGTAAGCCACCCCAAGGCGCGTTGCGAATGGGGCAGCATAGAAATGTTTTAAATAAAATAAAATAAAAAATATGAGATTGATCATTTCTAAGAAGGAAGCCACAGTCTTGAATTTACAAGAGCTGAGCAGGGCTGTGAAGGCCAGGATATTTTGGAGGGTGTTCACTCTCAGGGTAGCTATAAGTTGGAGACAACTAGAGGGCATGTAACAGCTGCTCCCTCCATGGCGATTGCTGTGACCACCAGTCCAGCATAGCATTATACCAAAGACGACTTTGGTCATAAGCGGATATTCCTCAGGTGGCAGAAAATAAAGCAATCAGACGCACCTCGATCAACTTGGGTCTCAAGTCTGTTCTGTCTCGTAACATGAGCAAGCATCAGCGTTTGACAAGGGGAACCATTGTATGTTTTGAGATTAACAGAAAGGCTGGATAACAGACTGACAAGGTTAAGGATTGCAACATATCTGTGTAATTATCTTGACACCTCCTTGTTTACTTTTTATCAAAATATATTGCCTTCGTGTGTCCGTGCATGTTTCTTCCCTGTTGATAAAAGGAGCCCTTTTTATACTCCTGGGCTGAATTATCTTTATCTTTCTCTTGTTTTGCCAGATGGTGACGGGCAGACTGAACATTTGCTACCAGCCTGTGCTGATAAAGAGTGTCAAAAAAGTGTCATCTACCTATCTAAGACAGGACGGGGTCAATCAGATCAAGTATGTTGTGTTTCTGCTTGCACAGCTCATGCAGGATGTTGGGGGATGTTTCTGTTTTGTCAATTAAAGCCCTGCCAGTGACAAAGATCTGAATCTAGCCAAAAAAGGACAATTAGGGCCAGTTCAAACTTTATGCGGCAATCATTTTTGCTGTAACAAACAGTAGACACCGCTTTACCCCAAGGTAAAAGGGACTACCATGTAGTTCATCCTATCTTTTGTATGCAAGGTAAGAAATATGGATTATGCTTCAGAAGGCAGCTTTAGGAATATATTTCTAACTCTTAGGAAGAGTTCGGCAATAGAACATGCTGTGTAAGGAAGGTGGAGAACCACCTGCCTTGAACATTGGTAAGAGAAGTTTGAGCAGGCACCTTGTCCAGGATGCCCATAAACCAAGGCAGGGCAGCTTGTGGCCCTCCAAAAGTTCTGACCTACAAGTATCAGGTCTAAGCCAGTGCAGCCAATAGTGAGAGATTCTGGATACTGTGGGCCAAAACATACGAGTGCCACAAGTTACCCACCCATATATTAGAAGATGGTGTGTGTAGGCCAATCTGAAGAGCATTCCTGTTTCCTTACTAACCTTTCAAACACAAAGGAGGATTTTGATAGAGTTTCTTCTTGCTTGGATGCAATACTTAGTCTTTTCCCCTGCCTGCCATGGGGCAAAATAACAATCCTGTTTTGTTCTAGTAAGTTGGAAAGGAACATGGATTGAGGATTATAATGAACAGAAATGAAAGAAAAATAGAAGAGACTTTCTTTACTGGAGAGGCCAACATACTGACCTTCATTTTAACACGCAAGCTGTTACGGCTTCCCTGGACACTGCAGTTTCTTATGCAGATGGCCGCAGAATGTTCGAAACACTTGGAATGGTTAGAATTTGAAATAAATGGAAGGTAAATGGTGCTGCTCAACTGCGTCCATTCCATCTTCATAGTCTACCAGAAGCTTATTCGATGACTTGCAGGGCACTGTGCTGCAGGGAAAGTCTGCAGCTGGATAATTGGAGCTTCATTTTGTCCCCGGCCTTTACATCAGCTGTACAACAATACAAAATTACTGAAAGCTCATTTGTGTATTTCTGTTAGAAGCAGGATAATCATCTGTCCGATCATTATAATAGAAGAAATGGAAAATTTATTATTACTGATATATAAAAATGATCAGTATGTAGTTTCTGCATTGAAGTATATTTATCTAGAGTAAATCGAAAGAACTCCACATTCTTATCTATTTAATTGTACTAAAAATCTCAAACATTGGTAGTGAAGTCCTTAACTATTCAGCAGGCTTGTCACGTTGTGGTGATTATCTTTTTTGGCAGGAGATGGTGGTCTCCCCTCTTTCGCCACGTACTATAGTAAAGACCTAGGAAAATGTCAGGTAATTAGCAAATGATAAGGCAAAATATCTTAAACAAATTTGAACTGAAATACCTTAAAAGTAGAATTATCACCTGAAATTTTGGGGGATAAAAACTTCTTTATAATCAACGATATCTGCATATTTTACATAAATTTTAAAAAAAATCTGATGAAAAAGGCACATTCTGTTTTTAGATGGTATCTGTTGCTTTCTATTTTAAATTTACCTGTACACTGCCTAGGTAACACCTGTTACTGAGTGTTCTAAAAGTATAATAAATGAAAATCCATGTTTTGGTAAACATGTGTACAGAAACACCTTTTTAGACACTCAGTAAGTTTTAATTAATCTTTAATTATTATAGCCATACTAACTAAGGGATTATTATTAAAATGCATCTATTGATCATCCTTGTCCACAGTAGTAAAATGCATATACAGTGACATTCTCGGCAACCTTCTTTTTGAAAGCCTAATAAATTCTAGTTCTGTTCACCCATCATTTCAATTTCATTTATATTCCCAGTAGCAGCAGTCTTTGAAGCTTCTGTTTACAACAATGTTCCTGGGGAAGGGTGGAAGTAAAAGCCCACCAGCTCTAATTTTTTTATCAAGCACCTCCATTACACTTAAGGGACTTAAGAAGAAATGAATATCTCATTCTAGTAGTCATAATACCATAGCCGTGTGATATTTAGGAATTGTATGTGGACTTTCTTGTTGTGTCTAATTCTCTTTTGTTGACAGTAACAGAGTTTTGCTCTGTAAATTCTTTTGAATGAAGTGAAACCACTGTTTGCATTTAGTTCTGTATAACTCTGGAGATGGGAAAGGTGTACAAAATGTCTGTTTCAGGCAACTTTCAAAGCAAAACTCAGTGTTAAAGCTATTGTTGTTTTGGTTTGCAAATTCCCCGAAGGTACCTATCCGGTTTTTTCATCTTGACGCAGGTTTTTTAATCCATAAAGCACAATGTTTAAATACAGCTAAAGAACCGGCTGGTTAAACCAACAAACCTGGTTCTTTTGCTCTTCAGCTCATTGTCTGTGCTACACACTGCTTTCTTCAGCCATGCCCTGCTTTGGCCGATTTTCTTTAAAGCACCCTGTCTCTTGGCTGAAAATCCATCGCTCTTACTCCTCCCAACCAGCACATGAGCCCTCCTGAAGTTAAGCACCGTGAGAGCCCTTCAGAGCCCCCTCTGTCCCCCACAGAAGCTGCACATCTAGACAGCATGTTTCACTGTGCAGTTAGAGCATCCGATAACCGGTGCGTCAGAAGCGTCGTCATCCCAGGTCTAATGTTACAGCACTGTGGCGTTTCCTGTCCCTTAACAGGAGAGTCTTGAAGCCAATGTATCCTGACAGTGTGCTTTTTCTTTCTGGCCCACAGTGGTTTCCAGTGTTGCAAGACTTCACAAACAAAGGTGTTCATTGGGGATTTGTTCCGTACAATTCAGATTCCGCTGAATTCTCAGTTCCAATCACCCTTCACATTGGAGATTATAACATGGATGGCTATCCAGATGCTCTTGCCATACTGAGAAATACATCGGGAAGGTATAGTTTTGTTGGTAAAAATGATTTTACAGTCTGTTTTGGCTTGGCCTAATTGCACATGCTGTTATTCTCCACAGTCTTTATAGAATCTAAATCCCTTCTTCTAAAGAAATGCCTTAATAGTATGAAAATGGGATCTACTTATCTGTACTAAGCAACCCTTTCCCTCTTTTCTGCTGCTGAAAGGGATGTCACAAGGGGCAGGGCAGAAAGATAAGTGCCTTGAGCAGAGATGCTGTCTCTTTCATGCTTTCCACCTGGAACAAAATTAAAAAGGGTTCCAGGTAAAAGGACACGGAAGAGGCTTTTCCCCCTCCTTCCCCAACAAACTCAGTTCCAGCTAGTATATAACTAAATTAGAGTATATTAATTATAACAGCTGCAGCAGGATTCTTCAGCTATGCATTCAGCAGTCTAAAAAGTCTCAATGTCTGGTTTGGAAAGCCAGGCACATGCTGTTGGCTCACACGTTCCCTTCTCACGTTCTCTGCTGTGTGCTATTTTCTCCTCAGCTGTGCCTGCAGAGGGCTTACCAATGCAGTTTGCGATCGGACATTCTGAGGCTCTGCTGAAAGTGGGGAAGGGAGCACGGAAAGGCCAGGTTGTGCATATGCGAGGATCTGAAGCCCACGCTCTTGCAAAGGAGCTCTTTGAGACCCAGCCATAAACACAAGCTGTCACCTGTCTGCCTGCCCCAAGGTTGCTACAGCCGCGTGTTTTAATGTGCCATCTGAAAACCCAGTCTGGGCAAGCTCCACTGTCCTTCGAATGTGAACCCCCTGTTTTCTGCATTCCCGCCCCCTCTCTCAGTGCCCAGCTGCATGGCTTTTGTCTGCCTGGATCTTTTGTGTTGCTGCAGAGGCAATGCCAGTGGCAGCCTCAGGGGCTGTGAGCTCCCTCAGTTACCTGGCCCCTCTGACATGAGAGCTGAGCCATCGCTCAGGGCCTGGCACCAGGCAGAGCCACAGGCCCGCTGTACTTTACTCTCTCCTCCATGCACACCCACCCACGCACGCCGTTCGTTCCACCCGGGCCAGCATCGACACCCAGTCACTGCATTAATGATGCAAACCTGCATGTGGCCTTCCTAAAGCACTCCTGCTGAACTCTTCCAGAGAACAAATCCCCCCCCCCTCCACCCGTGTTCTCCTGACCAGGTAGAAAGGAAGAGTGTTGTTCCTGCCAGCCAGGGCACTGCCTTCCCCTTTCTGTTTCACTGGCAAGTGGATGCCGCCTGTGTACTCGGGAGGTTTGTAGTTCTTGGTCATGGCTGCCGTGTGTGTTGTCGTTCCGTTTTTGCCTGAAGCAGCTCCTCTCCCCTCAAGCGGTTGTTGACCCATTTCATCTTGATGGATGCCATGTAGTTGCATTTCCTGGTAGCTGTCACACACATTTCTGCTCAGTCGCCAGCCCTCCATCATCGGAAAATCACCAGTGACATGACACATAATGTTGGTCTCTCTCCTTCGCCGCGTACAAGTATCTGGCTGCATTATATTGTATTACGCTATAGCCTGGAGCTGCTTTATGGTACCAAAAGTTAGAAATTAAACATTTCTATAATGCCATTCCTAATGTGTACAGTATATATGCTTCATGTATCATAAGATGTTTCATCAGAGTAAATGCATTTAAGCCCGTCCATGAAACTAACATAAAATAAGTCAGTCTGTAAAAACAGATGAACTCAACGTTTTAATATAAATGCTCTTGAATATTTTAATTATATGAATTCTTAAAGACGGTCAAAATATATGATTAAAATAGAAATGTTGATAATTAACACTTAGACTAAGGGAAGATTACAGCCATTAATGGAAAGACATGGTTGAATAGGCCAATCTGAAAAAACCCCACATTTCTGCATTTTTCATGTGAGGTGGGCAGACAGCCAACTGCCACCCACGAGGCCTCCTGGCACCTGCTGGGATTCTTTCAAGGAATGTTGGGTGGTGTTATTCTTGGCTGATCTAGCAGAGCACTTCCACTTTTAAGTCAGAGCTGATACACAGCACAAATTAGTGAAGGCTTAACTATTTAGAGATCCTGAGGTTTAAACAAGTAAAATAAGCATTTGCCTTGCAACTTTAAAATGCACTGATGGTTCATGGGATTCTGGTTTAAAATATAAGATGGTGTAAGGTATATGAAGCTCCCTTGTATTCAGTTGGACCTATCTAGCTGCAGTCTGCTCTGACTGGCAGCAGCTCTCCAGGGTCTTGGTCAAAAGCCTTTGCATGCCTTGATCCTTTTGACTGGAGATGCGAGACACGGAACTGTGGACAGATCGTGCATGCTAGCTGTGGCCCTTCCTGCTTCACTCGTTTGTGCCTGGACCCTGAGGGTCAGTCATTCAGCTGGCATGTTGTGTGTTCAGCCAGAAGCTTGAGGAACCTGTAAGGGAACTAAGTGTGCTTTTCCGCTGTGTCTTCCTCCCACTCTGTATTCTGTGCAGTTAATACTGGTCCAGCACCCGCATTCTTAGCAACCTGTGTAGAAAACTGGGGATCGAGTGAGTTGAAATATATCAACATGCGGAATTTCAGGGTATATAGAAACTCTGAAGTAGCATAGCAGGCCCTCTGGGCATGGGCTGGCTGACAACCAGGGCTATGAATGTATGTCTGAAGAACTGTCTCCTGTACCTTGAAAATGTAACTCTGAGATGTTTAATGGCTAAAAGTGTGAGCAGCAAGGTTTCTGGTTGGAATCTTACCTCAGGCATATACTCTCTGGGCCTGTGTGCACATAACAAGAACATGTTGGTTCAAGAAAGATGGCTTGCTAGGCATACATGGGATGCCCTGGGTTAACCATGGAGTTGTTTAGCCCCTGATGCTCCACAACCTATAGAAGATCCAATAGGAGTCGTGGAGTAAAAACAGAAGGAGCAGGTGTGTTTCTACCCATGTGCACAGCCCATCGGTCTTTAATCAGTTAGTTATCACCAAGTGTGGAGCAGGTTGGCCTGGCTCTCTCCTCTGAGGCTTATCCCCTCAGCTTTAACGTGAGGATCATAAGGTCTGTCCTAAAGCCTGTTGCAGGGCGGGAAGCTCATTGGATGTTGAAGTGTTGCAGGGATCACACTGGCCAAAAGAATTCAAGCTGATCCAGACTTCCTACTGAGCTGCATAGTGGCAGAATGAGCATTTTAAAAGAGCCGCATCTACAAACCAGGCAGAGATTGGCAGATTGTGCTCAATATGTTGACTGTATCCAGAAGCAAATTGGAAGACATTGTTAAGCACAAATATATTTCCTATACAGTAGTTAGTTAAATCAAGCACGCATAATTCAAGGGGCGCAACTCTCTCGTACACAAAGCCCAGCTGTTTTTATCTCGATCACTAATCCAAGGTTTCATTGCTCATCAAGGCAAAATCTTCCCCCTCTCCCTCAGCAAACAATTTTTGTCCTATTTCAGTACCTAGACTTTCCGTCACACAGCTCTCCATGCTGCTGCTTAGTCTGGAGTAGAGTGGGAATCCTCAAAGTCCTTGTTAATGCTTTGAAATCCCTTAAAATCCCCCTTTAAAAGCTGTATAAATGCAGACATGGAGTATAATCCATAATAAAGGGGAAACGTTAAATGCATGTGTTTTGAGTAAAGAATCTTGTTTAGTCACTTTAGCATTTCAGTAACAACTAGGAGTCAACAGTATAATAGTCTTCCTTTACTGAGCATTTAAAGTATTAAATAGGAATGCCTCATATCAGGAAGAAAATTACGGGTAGGTTCTCATGACACACAAAGCCTTTTGGGTTTATAAGCCACACGCTGTGGCTTCTTTATGGAAACATCTGACAGATTATCAGCTTTCCATCAGCCTGTGCTTTCCTGTCTTCCCCCACTTCCCCCTCAGACTTCCAGGCATATTATCAACAGAATTAATGTCCTGAGGTTGGTTGGAGCAGTGCCACATCTCCAGCTTTTCACCCGTTGGTCTGTTACCTCTGCATCAGCAGCTTTTTTATTGGTCCCCTCTGCGGGCAGGCTGTATTTATCTTTTCCTTGGGTCCTGGTTACCTGAAGGAGCGCTTACATCCATATATGCCCGACCGCCCCTTGAGATCTGCGGGAGAGGCCCTTCTCCGGGAACCCTCCATGAAAGAAATTAGGAGGGTAGGTACTCGGAGGAGGGCTTTCTCTGCGGTGGCGCCCAATCTATGGAATGCGCTCCCCAGAGAGGTCCGCTTGGCGCTGTCGTTATTTGTTTTTCGGCGCCAGGTGAAGACCTTTTTATTTAAACGTCATTTTAATTGTTAACAATATTTGCTTATTTATCTGGCCAGGGCGACTTCTTTTATATTTTATATTTTTTTTATTTATTTTATATTGTTAATTTTAATTTTATATTATTTTTGTATTTTATTGTATTTTATTGTGTTGTAAGCTGCCCCGAGGCTTCGGCAAGGGGCGGCATAGAAATGTTTTAATAAATAAATAAATAAGTATCCCTCCTGTCCACCATTTTCTACACTGGGACCTGTAGAAGCGACTGCCAAACTTTTCCCTCCGTTCACTCTCCTTCCCCCTTCTCATCATTTGTGCTCTGCTCAGAGATAGGCCACAGCCAGGCCCTAGCAACACCATCCAATCCCCTTTCTTCTCCTATTACCCCTTGGAAGGGACATCTGTGCTCAGCCCCAGTCCTCACCAGAAGAGCAGAACATTTTTCTTCCCGTTGTCTCGTTTGGGCCTCCAGCTGTTCACACTTCTTTCTCCATGGAAGAAGATGTCCCCTTCCCTGCACCACCCAGCCATCTGCCCTTCCCTCTTCTCCCCTTTGCAGCCTCTCCACCCACCCAGGAATTCAGTGAAGCTTTGCTCCAAGAATCACATATTTCTTCGTCATGGTCTCTGTGCATCACACACATATGGGCTTTGCCGCGGAGCGCAAGCCTAGATCGGAGAGAAACTCAGAAGCACATATTTACGGTTAAACTAGGTGATCTTACTGTGTTGCCAAGAAGCCAGATTCTCATTGTGAGGCCATTGC